AAATGTCATAGGCATGAAGAAATCTAGTGATTAACCTCCCATATGGCAATATAGTATCTTTAGCCATAATATCCTGCATGTGTTGGCGAATTAAGTACCCAAAACAATTATGCTGACCGGTCATAATCCAATACATGGTACTTATCTCTATTTGACTTATTTCGTCAAGATGAAATTGTTTGGGGAATATGATGCTTGTGATAATGTGATGAAGAATTTTAGAGGTGAAAGGCAGTAAGTGTTCACAGCTTTTGGGTAGGAAGTCAAGGTTTGAATTTGCAAAAATTGTTTCTACGGCTTCGGTATAGGTTGCTCCTATTGTGTTGACGTCCCATTTACCTTTAAAATAGCATCCCCTATCTTTTTCAGTTATGCCAATTAGCTCACAAATAGTGCTGTCAAATATTCTAATGGGTGTTCCTAGAAGGTAAGTGCTTAGGCTATCGTTGTCCTCATATAGGTTAGCATAGAACAATCTAACTAATCGCGGATAGATTGGTTCATCTATTTGTAGTAGAGGTAGAGCTTCTAGGTGTGCAAACCACCTAATGGGTTCTAAGTCCTCTAGTTCATCCAGATCAACATATTTTCCCTTATGGATACATCGTGTTTCAAATTTTGGAAAGCTAAGGGCTACCTCTTTTGATCTAAAAAGATCATGGTTAAATGAATCTCCTTTAATCCTTTTTTCTTTTGATCTCTTAGGAGCCATTATCTAGACAAGATGATGATGAAATTGTGAAAAATAAGCAAGGGAAAGAGAAAAGAAAAGAGGGAATGGGATACCAAAAAGAGGGATTTCAAGTGTTACCTTATGGAGATTATGTTGAGAGATGGAAAGCTTGGACCACCAAGAATCCTTCTCCAATACTTCTAAGAGTTAGAATGAGAGTTAGAGGGAATGGGAGAGGGTTTTGAGAGCGTTTTCTTCGGGTTGGGGGCGGTGTCACCGCCGGCCCTAACCCCTCGGGTTAATAAGAGTCGCTCGGTCGGTGCCACCGCCAAACTGAGCGGTGTCACCGCCTGGCGCCCGAGCGCTCAGGCGGTGCCACCGCTGGCATCCCGCGGAGGAAAGAAAAATTTTTTTTCTTCC